TTCAATTTTATTAATAAAACATATAAAATTAATATAGTGGACAGTTTTGGTTTTGCGAAATCATAGTGTGTAACATTTGTATTGAACCTAGAAATTATTTTTGTTACACGGTATAATCACGTGTTTTATAATTGTTTATTGGAATCTGGGGGAATGTTAAACAAATTTGAACGGCCTTACAAATAATTAAACTTATCAAATAAATTTTTAAATATTCTTCTACCAGCATACAAATTTTGCAATCTAATTCTTTCATTCTTTAAATGAGCTTGATCTGTTGACTACAATATAGTAATTATAACATTATTATTAGTGTTGATTTATTATGAAAAGGGAATCATATTTATTTACCTGACCAATTGGTAAATGTACAGTTATTGCATTGAATTTTTTTTCCAACCAGCTTACTGCTGGAATTGATCCACCTTCTCTTATATACAATGGTTTTATTCCCCATTCCTATATGTTAAAAATTAGTTACAAGCTATAAATTATAATAATTATTAGATATTAATATTTATTACTTCTTCAATTGCTTCTTCAGCTGCTTTAAAATATTTATTTTCAGGATTGCCTAACCACCAATCTGCCATGTTATTTATAGTAATCTATTGTGATCATTATTAATTGAAATTAAAATTGTGATTAAAATAGTTTTATTATATTATTAATCATAAATCTAGTCATGAAACTCCTTACCTTTAAACAATTATCAGTTGTCAACTCTTCAAATTTTTCATTTACAAATATTTGAAAATTTTTAATTATATCATTTATATTTTGATCTGGTACAATCCTCATGCTTAATATAGCTTCTGCTTTATGTGATATAACTGTTGTATTATCATTTGGTCCACTTACATCTATTCTATGTATAGTTAGTGATGGATATCTCCATCTCAACATCAACGAATCTATCAAATCTTTATTTTCATTACCAAATAATAATTTACTCCTAATATATACATAAATGTAAATATTTATTTAGAATAAGAATAATCCTGATAATTGTATAGTTATATTATTACCTATTAACTGATTTGATAATTGGTTCATATAATTTTTTTTCATTTGATGTTGCTTCTCTAACTTTATCATAAAATTCTATTGTTTATAAAAAATTTTTAATATACATACACATAATAATAAATTTATTAAGAATTGATGAATTAATTTTCACCTGGTATCAAAACTTTATTATCATTTGTTATAAGTTTTGAGAGTATTCTAATCATATCTTTTAATGGCTCAGATACCGCTCCACCTTCCATTCCAGAATGTAAATCATTTTTTGAATTAAATACCTACAATTTTGTATTTTTTATATATAATGATATAATCACATATACATATAACCATATATATACCAAATTCTATATAAATATTTACTTCAATTTTTGCTTTGATAATTCCACGTAATCCATAAGTTAGACAAGGTGTTTCATCATCTAACCAATAAGAGTTACTATTTAAAATAAAATGATTTAATTCAGCTAAAATAAATATTTGTACCATATATATGGAATAGATATGTATTGAAATCTAACCTAACTAATATAATATCAGCTTCACCAATTAGGTCCTATTAATATGTAGACATGTATATACATACATACATATATAATATATATTGATATATTTAATGATATATTTACATATATAATTTGTCATCATTCATTACCTTGAATTGTTCTACAGCAATGTAGAATCCTTTACTTCCATTCTCCTCTTCACCTTCTACCAAAAAAGATATATTTGCTTCAAGCCTTTTTTCTTGTAGCAATTCACTTGCAGCAAATATTGCACAAATCATTGGCCCTTTGTTATCAGTCACACCTTAAATACATTATATTAATATATATTTGTATATTCATATGTGTATGCTTTGTCCAAAATTATATGAAATTTACCTCTTCCATAAAGATAACCATCTTTACCAAGCATTTTAAATGGACTTGACAACCATTCGGTTTCATCAGCAGCAATGACATCATAATGACCATATACTAAAATATTCAATTTATTAGATTTATTTTTATTTCCAAGAAATCTACCAAAAACCAAAGGATTTTGTCCAGATTCTCCTGGGATCTATTTTTTTATTATAAATAATTAATAACACTTTAAGCTTTATTACAAAGCCATGGATGATAATTTTGAGATACCCTACTAGAGAAGAAGTTGCTCCCAATTGTTCCATTATACTTTTTAAGTATTTTGCTCCACGTAAGCATTCTTCTAAATATTTAGAATTTCCACTAACAGTTTGTAATGATATCCATTTTGACAATGCATAGATCATTAAATCTATAATATATATAACATTCGTGCATATTATTTACTTATAGGTTAGTATTATTATTGTTAATAAAATAGCAATATAATTATTTTATTTTTGTACCCGAACTATGAAACTCTGGTAAATCATGAGACTCAAATGATGTTGTAGATGACAAATCCCAAAACTTTTATGAAGTAATAAATATTATTATTATCATTGGATTATTCTTTCACTATTAAATATTTTAATATATGTTGTACCTTTATCAATTTGTCATTAGTACCAGATACCAGCCATAGTTTTGTATTTGACAGGGATTTATTATTATCATAATTATGGCCATTAGTGGTAGTAGTGTTAGCAGAAAATAGTGATGACATTGTGAGCGAAAGTATTGCTACATTGTAATCACTATAAATGTCCAAAATGTTGAATGTTTTATTCCATCTCTAAAATACCAAATATATGCATAATATTAAATTATTTGTTAGTTCTCATTTTTCCAGCTTTTTCACTGCATCTTTTAGTATATATATCTTTTTCCCATTTCCCACACACTTTAATAGTTCCATCTGCAGATCCAGAATATAAATTATTATTATCTACAGCTAATGCCAAAACATCATCCTATAAAAAATAGTAATTTTATTATTATTATCATTATTATTATTATTATTAAGATGATACCTTATAACTTACATTATGTGCCATTAATGATCTTATATGCTAATTTTTAAAATTAAGAGAATAGACTCAATAAAAATAGTTTGAAATTTTCATTATTAATATTTGCTATTAATATTCATTTTTACCTGATAAGTTTCTAAATCATAAATCTAAAAAAAAAACATACTTAAGAACAATTAAAAAAACAATTAAAGAAGAATATAATTAATATATCATTAAATTACTTACTTTAATATTTCCACCTTGTGTACCACATATTAATAATTCATCTTGCAATACTAACGTTAAAACACCAGCATCAGTGCCTCCCAATCTTCTTAGTAAATTCATAGAATTTTGTTTAATTGACCAAATCTAAAAATATAAAATTTTGATTTATTATCTGTTGGATTTGATTAAACTTGATTTCATAGAAATTTATTATACACACTTTAATATTTCCGTCGCCAGATCCTTTTTATTTATAAATATTTTATAATAAAAAAAGCTCAATGTTTATTAAGTATACAAATATGCAAGTTGCACAAATATATTATTATTCCCAAATTATAAAAAAAAACCTGACCACTTATTAATATGTCACCATCTTTGTTTACACCCAACACTAAAGCATAAACATATCCATTGTGACTATTGTGATAAATCATATCATCACAAATCTCAAATCTCTTTACCCCTTGCTGTTCATCTTCAATAAAGTTGACCTTTTCATCAATTAGTCCATCTTCAATATTGTTATTACTATTACCACCATTATTATTCCGGAATGAATCAAAGAATTTTGAATAGTTACGAAGATTTGGAAGATGTGGTGTTTGATAAGTTTCTTTAATTGAGAGATCAAACCTCTTTAAAGTAAAATAAATTTGATATTGATATGTATCCTGAATTTATAAATTAATTGTAAAATGTTAAGAAATGAAAAAACCTGGATACTTGTATTTTGACAACCAATGTACAAAATTTTTAATTTATCAGAGTAAACAACTGAAAAAAGATCTCCAACGTCTTGACATGATTGTATAACATAAAGACATTTTAAAGTACCCACATTCCAAATCTATTTATTTATTTATTATATAATAAATTTTTTTATAATGAATATTTTCTATATCACAAAAAGCCAAATTCTTACTCTAACTGTTCCATCGCCTAAAATAAAAAAACAATAAGTAGATTTTAAAGTTAAAGATAAGAGATAAAGCTAAAAATATATTCTTAATAAATTTTTCTATCTTCCCAACCTGATGAGCTGAATAACATTGACTGATCATTAGATAAACTTAAACATAATACCCTTCCAGTATGACCTTTCAAGACTCCTGCTTGTTGAAAAGTGATTAAATCCCATACCTTTAAATATCAAACAATTAATTTATCTTCAATTAATAAACATAACACTTTTCAAGATTTTTTTTAATTATAATTTACCCGTATATAAAAATCTTGTGAGCCGCTAAATAAATATTTATTACTACATGCCAAAGATAATATGGAATTATCATCAAGTTTAATAGTATGGATCGGTTTATTTAATATATTATTTGTTATTAAAAGGCGATCCAAACTACCTGAAATAAGATGAATATTTACAATTATGTATATGTATGCATATGATATAAGAATTGTATCTAATAATAATAATATATACTCGTACGCAATGGCGTTGGACTGGAACTTCTTGTGGTAATTTCTTGATCTATTGATAAACTTTTAGTACTCGAGTATAAATTTCGCATATCAAAAAAAAAAATAATAAAACTAGATGGTTCCCAAAGAAATTTTTCATTAAAATATTTCGTGTATTTTTAAAAAATAACGATTATGAAAAATTTTTATTTTAATAAGTTATCGCATGTCATATTTTTCATAATATATATCAGTTTTTTTTATACAGTGCGGATCATCTATACTCAAAAAATTTTTGAAATATTATGTGATCCACACATTGGATTTTAAAAAACTTACTACCATTCAATTCAGCTTTAAAAGGGAGTCTATTAATCTAAAAAAAAATTTTGTCTCAAATTTTCTTTTCATAGATTTTTTAAATTTGAAAGTTAT